CGCGAAAAATACGATTCCAACATGATAAATCTTTTTTTTTTCTTGAGGCTTAGGTGTAAATTTGATGAATTTTGGTGCCCGTTTGACTGTGAACTGGATTTTAGAATCTAGAGTCGAAATGCCCAATTTTTGTTTAATGAGTTAAAGGCTTTATATTTTTGTGATAATTATACTATAAATATATATGCTGAGGATGATGTGGTTAAAATTTCATAATGTTTGGATGTCATTTGATATGCTTTAAAATTTCGGACATTAGCCTCATATTGCAATATTTTTAGTAATTGCTCCGGTTGAGATTTAGTTGCACTTGTTGGGTCTAAAATCTTGATAAATCATGTTGAACATAGGGTTAAAGTTTCAGGTTAAAATGAGTAAGTTTAACAGGTAGTAGAAAACCCTAGTTCGGTCTTTCCGGGCAATCCGGATAAATTTCTAGATCTGAGTATAAAATCGTGCATCGGCGAAGCCGTAGCCGTGCATGGTACCCGGACCACGGTTGAACCGAGTTTCACTTAGTCTAGCGAGTGACCGGTCGGTTCCGATCAAGCCGCCGGTCCAGTTCAGCCGAATCGGACAGGACGATTATGGAGTTCAGTTTGGAACATACGTTTGAGCGTGAACTGAGATTCAGTATTTTTTTGAACCAATTAGATCAAAATAAATCAGATAAGCCAATTAAGATAAAATCAGATAAGTCAGTTCAGATAAAGTCAGATAAGCCAGTTCATATAAAAGCAGATAAGCAGTTCGAAATATTTCCAGGAACTCTAGAAGACCTTCAGACAATAATTTTCAGATTAACTCGTAAATCTTCTAAATCGAGATTAAATGCTTTAATAAATTCAGCAAGCGAACCTAATAATATCGGATAATAATAACATTTAAGATTTTCAGTTGAGCAAAGTACTTAGAATATTTTGCAAAAATATTGTAGCTTAAGGAGAGTCGAGCCTCCGACAGCTACCTTTCATCTCGCACTTGCCTAACAGATATATTAGGTGTGGGTCACGTACTGGGTACCACATCATCTTTAATTTTTGTACCATGTCTGAGGTATGTATAAGATAAATTATTTCGCCAAGGTGGCGGCCGAGCTGGGCCTTAATGTGCCATCCTGTGCCTAGTTATATTACATACGGGTGGGGGCCGAGCTGGGGCTTAATGTCCCATCCTAGGTTTTGGTGGAGGCCGAGCTTGGCCTTAATGTCTCATCGAAGTGTGCACACAACTTTTAGTTCAGATGAGGTCAGTTTCAGTTACTTTTATGCTTACGTCATGATATCGTTATTAATGATGTTGTTTTATTCAGTACCGATCTTTGCGGAGCATAGTGGTTTTGCTCACGCCACCACTAACTTTCTTTTTAGGTGACGCAATCCAGCGTGACGCGTGAGCACTCGTAGTGGTCTTAGTCATAGCAGTGGACATTTTTTCACGCATTTCATATCATGTATATTGAACATGTAATTATACTTAAGCATGTTTATTATGTTTTTAGCTTCCGCATTTCAGAACCAATATGAGACTATGAGTATTTCAGACTTATGCATGCGTAATACTTTTATCTCCATGGTACATTTATTAAATGAATTCGATTAGGTGGCATGTATTATAATTATTTGTCTGACGAAATAAGAATAGTAAGTAAAGAGCTCCAGTAGCACCCCGCGAGACAGTTATAGTATTTTCGAAAATAAAAGTTAAGCCTTTTTCGAAAATAAAAAGCAAAAATTTAACTTTGATTTTTATAATTCTAGTAATAGAAGGCGGAGTGTTGCAAAATTAATTTCAAATGCAGTTTCTACTTCGTAAGGTAGATGCCTATTTTCGCTCAAACATAATAACAGAGTGTCTGTTTGAAAACAATCGGGTGGGCTGGAGAGTCGCCGCTGCTGTCAGCCTTGACAACATTATTTTTTTTAGAGGGGATGACGTACCTTTCTCCACGACGATGACTTCATCTTTCTATCGCATAGTTTATCGCATAACTATTTCGCACGATTGTCTTTCTGCTGCATGGTTTATCACATATTTATCTCGTACTTGCTCAATAATCTTCGTCTTTCTATCGCATTTTTATATTCACTTGCCTAATTAATTCCGTCTTTATATTGCATAGTTTATCTTATATTTATTTTGCACTTACTCAATTAACTTTACATATTTGTCGAATAGTTTATCGCGTAATTTGTTTCCTGAACTTCACTTTCAAAATGGGGTCAAAATAATTATTTCTTCTTATTTACATGTATCCTTTTAGTGATATTTCAACAGCAATGTCAACAATAGAAGAATATTTCACGACAGGTTTCCGACGTAAAGCTAGGAATATCATCACCACTTCGAGAAATAAAAAAAAAAGATAATCTCTTAATTTTTTTAAAGAAAATCTAGATAATGTTGAGTTTACCAAAAAAAAAAAAAA